TATTCAAGTGCTTTATCAGGTTCATTTATGATTGTATGCATTAAGGATGTTTGCCGAATCCGAAAATAATTTCAGAAGTTGATTTTTAAAATTCAAAATTCCGAAATGCTGAAATATTCCCGAAATGCAGAATTGTTTCCGAAATGCAGAATTACATATTTGGTAAAGATTATCATGTCAATCTATAATAAGAAAATCCTACACAGAATTGTCAGAAAACTTGGTGTGCAAAGAGATTTCCAGAGTAAATAATAGAATTGATAAAGAATTAGAAGTTGGAAAAACCTTACCATTGGTAAATGATTGCAAAATAATAATTTAATTTTGTTGCACTAATATTTTATATATATTTCAGTATTAGATGAGTGGTCATTTCCCATATACAATTTTATCATTTTAATGCCACAAAAAAATCAATATTTATATTGTCTTTATGACCACTCCAGCTCTCAATAAAATTGAAGTTGTTAAATTTAAAGCAATAATGGTGCTAACGTTAAGCTTGCATGTAATCTTAGATGCATAGCTCATTTTGTGAACTTGGCTATCAAATCAATCATTGGTCAGTAATAATTTTTAATATTTATTCTTTTTTTAATGTTAATATTTTTGAAGTATTAATTATTATTATTAATTAAATAGATGTTGGCATCAAAATAGAACAATACAAATTGATAGTTGAAGCTATAGATGCTGGTCACAATTAAGGTTGTGGGCGAAACCTCCTTAGTAATTGCTGAAACCACGGCAAAACTATATTAAATCTTATCAAAAATCCTGTTGAAACTATGCCGAAATGGCGAAACCTCAAAATGCGAAACTCTGCCGAAACTCTAATAAACAATTAATGTGTAACCTGCCGAAACCCTGCTGATTGATTTCTGGAGGAGTTTCGGCAAGCAACCTTACATATGGCTTGTGATTTTTTTTTCAATACAAGCAACTAGTGTGTCAAGTGAGTCAGCTTTTAGCATAGCATAAATGCACACCAAGTCCAATTCGTAATAAATTGGATCCTGAAAAAGCATGAGCAAGTTTATGTCTTAAAAGTTGGATTGAAGCAAAGATTGTTTCAATATAAAATATATAAAATATATTTTATATTTTTTTTAATATAATTTTTTTTATATTTACAAAATAATAATATATAAATAGGAATAAAGATATATATATATAATAAAAGTATATAATAAATATTTTATTAACTGTTTGAAAAAAGTTTGGGACTTTAAGTCTCAGAACCGAACCGGACTGTTCAGGACTGATTAACATCTCTACTCAAAATTTATTTTGTCATGTGATTTATAATAATCACGTTTTTGAAGTTGATTATGTCACATGATATTTAATTTTTGGAAATGGGGTTTGTTACTATTACTATACATAGTTTTGATCTCCATATTTGACTGAACACCCCAGTCTCACAAATGTATTAGGGCTAAAATTTGATTAAAAAATTTTTTTTGTTTTTGAAATAAACCCAACTCAAAAACAAGTTTTTCGGAGAGTGGTGTTAGTAACTTTATAGATTAACTATACTTGTTAAATAATCAAACCTAAACGCGAAAACCGCGGGGTAGTCATGAGCTGGGCTTATCTCTCTAAACGCGCACAGGCTCGCACTGATAAGGTGCAATTGTTAAAAGAAGGTTTTTTACAGGCTCAATCAAAGCCTCATCACAAAACTGAAAATAGTAATGGTATAATCAATTTGGGACTTGCTGAAAACCAATTAATGGTAGAGGAATTATTACAAAAGGTTAGTTGTTTATATCACCCAAAATTATTATATTTTTATTTATTTAATTTTTTTAAAAAAATTAAAAAAATTCTTTGGATAAATTTACATTGGTTGATTTGGAAAAATGAAATTAATAACTTTACTTCTGTTACTGCTTTGAATCTATTTATTTTTTTTGCGGGTTATATATATGTATAATTATATATATTCCTGATCTGTGTAGCTACCTGGTTTATTCGATTTAGAAACTAGACATCTACAAAATTGTCATAATACTGGTTCACAAGAGCTTAGAGCCCATGTTGCCAAACTTATAAATAGATATTTCAATGTACAAACTGAAATATTACCTCAACATGTAACCGTTCATACTGGGGTAACTAGTGCTATTAATGATTTAGCATATGTGTTGTGTGATGAAGGCGATGGAATTTTAATACCAACTCCTTACTATGGTATATATGGTTTTGATATTTTTTAATTAATTACTTTATTGAAAAAAATATAATGTAATTAAATAATATAAATATTAATGTTTTATAGGTGCTATTGATGATGATCTTTATCTCAAAGTTCATGCAAGAGCTATTCCTGTACATATTGGCACTGATGCTGATATATTTGATGAACAGATTCATGTTGAGCGGCTTGAACATGCATACCAAAAATCTACAAATGATGATTCCATTAATGTCCGTGCTTTACTTGTCACAAATCCACACAATCCACTTGGTCAATGTTATCCTCGTTCAGTGATTGAGGCTTTATTAAAATTTGCAAGTAGCCATAAACTGCATGTCATTTTTGATGAAATCTTTGCTCTATCAGTATTCGATCATGTGTTGGAAAGCCGTCCACCTGTAAGCGCTTCATCAAGAACTCCTTTACCAAGAACAAAACAACCATTTGTATCAGTTTTATCATTGGATAACCTTGATGAATTAATCGATCCTGCATTTGCACATGTTATTTATGGACTATCAAAAGATTTTTGTCTAAAAGGTAAATTTTGTTTTTATTAAATTTTATGTATATATACATAATTAAAACCATTAATATATTGTTCGCTATATTAAATAGGTTTTCGTGTAGGGTTTTCAATTAGTCCTTATAATCAAGCATTGAGAGAAGCTTTAAAAAATATTGCGTATGTTTGATATTATTTATTTGTTTTTGTTTTTTAAAAAAATATTTTTATAATTTAAATAAATTTATTTAATAGAGAACTTTCATGGGTTGGAACTCCAGCAGAAAATATTGCTACCAATTTACTTGCAGATGAAAATTACATTGATTGGTTTTTGACAACTAATCAACGACGTCTTGGTGAAAGCTATACTCGTGCAACTAATCTTTTAAATGAAAATAAAATCTCATTTCTTCCAGCACAAGCTGGTCATTATATCTGGATTGATTTTAGAGAGTATGTACAAGGAAATAGATCAAAAGAACATGAATTATATAAAGAATTTTTGAAGAACGGTGTTTATGTTTCACTAGGCGATGCATTTCATGCTGAAGAGCCTGGCTGGTTTAGTTTGGCATTTGCTGTTGAATGGGATGCTTTAAAATTAGGCATACAAAGAATCATAGATGTTTTGGCGAGATTTGGAAAAGAATGAAAAATTGTGGAATCAAAAATAAAAGAGGAGAATACGTATGAGTTTTGAACATTGCTAATTTATTTTTTTTCCTATCATAATAATAATAATTAAACATTTATTATTGTGTGGTGTAGTAGTAATAGTGTAGTGGTGGTGTGTATCTTTATTAGTTTATAATTATTGTTGTTGTTATTATTTACTACTACTACTATTCCCTTTATGATCTATTTCTTTATTTCTTTTTTGAATTGTATTCATATTGTTCAAGTTTATTATTTAAATGTTATATTATAAAAATTTTTTTCTTACCAATTACTATTTATATGAAAAATGAAGTTTATTTTTATATACAATACATTTATACATTTACATACATACATATATATACACATATATCTATCTCAAAAGATAAATTTTGAATATTTTTTGTTTAAAATAAATATTTAATAAGTGTTTGTTGATTGGCATACACAGCTAAAATTAATTATTCTTTCTGTTATTAAACCTTTGACAGATAAGCTAATTGCCTTATCAAAATTTTATATATCAATGATTATTGCCAGGTTATCTTAAAAATAATAATTAATCTTCTTTATAATATATTGCTTGCCTTTATTTCTTTTATTATTGGTTATCCCTGACCTGTTATGATACTTATTTTGACTAATAAAGAAATTGAAATTTAGTTATTTGATCAGTTAATTAGTTCAGAAATAAAATAATTGAATAAAATATAATTATCTCGAAATAATCTAATCAATCATCCTTTTCATTTACATTCTAGTTTTCTTCATTTTTTCCCCCTTTTAGAATTCCTTATAAAGTATATCTATTATGTTATCAGTTGAAAATACTCGCTAAGAAAAGATTTGATTGATTGATTTATATTCTGCAAATCATTTCTTATTCCGTCATCATTATAATATAGATAATCGTAATAACAACATTAACAAAGAAGTTTCATCATTAATATTGTAATCAAATATGTTTATGCTAATTTATATTTACAAAAATAAATAAATTCTATAAAATTTTCTTTTGATTCTATTCATTACCATCATCGATAGTAAACAATCTTTTTTAATCATACTTCCCAATAAAATATCCTTTATAAATTGTTAATAATACGGAATAATAATATAATAATAAGAGAATATATACATTAAATGATGAATAAATCGACTCTAATTAATTAATCAATTATTTAGCAGATTAATATAATACCAAATGCATAACTAAATTAATAAATCTTTGCTTCATATTGCTTCATAATGACCAATTTATTAACTAATTACTTCAAAAGTTCATTACTAAAAAAAACTAAATATATCTTCTTTCTTTAATTAATCAATTTTAAAACTAAAGATATTTCTAAAATCAAAATTTTTTCCTATTTATAATATTATAATTGTTTCAATTGAAATTTGATATCGTCGAGATATTTTTGCTGTTGTATGATGATACTATATAAAAATTTCTTTAAATATATTTCCATAAAGTAAATAAAACATTATCATTACCTCAATTACTTTAATGCAAGAAAAAGATCTTTAACATCAATTTTTTCTTTTAAAAAATGCATCTTCAAATAAATATAATATTATTTTAAAAAATTTTCGATAAAACCTTTGATAACTTACATTTATTTATTTATTTTACAATGTGTTAAAGGTGTATTGACTCAAGCCGATATTTCCTTGTGCATCTCTAATAATCACACCTTTAATATATCCTAATGTTTCGTGTGGTTCTGGCATTGATAAACGCGGAGCACTACTAGGGCCTGACATGAAATCTCTATAAAACATAAATTAAATAATACATTATAAACATTTATTTATTTAGGTAAGTTAATTATAAATGTGCGAGCCTACGTAGGTAAAGGAATTGCTGTGTGTCTGCCTGGATGATTCCATTGAAATGAGGCCAAATGTATGGGCATAGATTGAACGGGACTGTTCTGTGATTGCCAATCAGCATATGGAATATTTGAATTGGAATTTGATAGTTCTGGAGGATAGGAACTATAATATCCTAAATGAATAAAAAATCAAGTAATATTTAAAATTTGAATTAAAAATCCTAAGCGAATTTAAAAAATAAAAATAGATATATACCATGATAATATTGTTGGTCAGGAGGATATTGTGAATAATCATACACTGATTGGGGTGGAGGATTTGGTCCGTTTGGAGGCATTGGTGGCATTGGAGGTGCTTCATAAATAATTGGTGAAAGTTTAGACGGGCCTCCAATTAAAGGGTGTGGTGGTTGTGTAATAGGAGGCGGTGGGGGAGGAGGAGGTGGATGTAGTCCACAATGCTCTCTAGGAAATCTAATGTTATCAGGTCTTCTATCGTATGAACTTTTTCTACGATTGTCATTATGATTACGATGATGATGAAAAGTATTTTCACGTCGATTGATTAGTAGTGGCGGATGTGACAGTGGTAGATGTAGTTTATCACGCGGAAAATTTGTATTGATAGGTGGAGGAGGTGGAAGTGGTGGAGGAGGTCTAAAATCAGTTTGCGAAGGCGGCCTACGATCATAGTCTCTATTATTATTATTGTTGTTGTTGTTATTAATATTATTATTACGCAAAATACTGCCAATACCAATACCAACGCCGACGTTACCAACAAAATCATCTCTTCGATCTCTATTAATAATATTATTATTATTACCACTACTGCCATTGCCAATCATGTTATTTCCAACAATGACATCGTTGTTATTAATCTTATTATTATTATGATTGTGGTGATTGTTATTATTATTATTAAAAGGGTAATTATCCACTGTCAAACGTCTAACTTTAAAATTTCGGTCATCGCTTTGGAAATTCCAATCACCACCACCACCACCACGAGATTTTTGTCCAGGATTTCCATAAGGTGCATGACGAATATTACCACCACCACGTTGTGACCAGCCACCACCAGCACCACGATAATAGCGGTGTTGATGATGATGATTATTAATACTATTATTATTTCTACCCTTGTTGCGATAATGATCCAGATTCAGATTACTATTATAGGATTTATTATATTGGCCCCACAACTTACAAATTTGATTTAAAACTAAGTAAATATATAGTTTTATATTTTATTAACAGTTTTTCTTTTTAAAGAGTCAAAAGAAAATAACAATGAGTTTAATAATAATAATTACCATTTTCTCCAACAGAAGATTCAGTTTTATTATTATTACCGCTACTAGTACCACCACTATTGCTGCTACTATTGACACAATGATTTTCTGTTCTGATTCTATCCATAGCATCGCAAAAACATTTATCTAATATAACTGTTTCTTGAAACTTTTCTTTAATAACCTATTGGTTATTTATATAATTAATTTATAAATAAATATATTGCTGCTTTATAAAATTCACTCCAAGAAACAAATAATTAAAATAATATATGTATTTATTACTCACATCCGAATCTGAATTAATTGTTTTCAATAATTCTTTTCCTCTCTGGATTAAATTTAAGATAACTTTCAGAAAATTTTTTTTTTGAAAAATCTAATCAGCTAAATGATATACATAATTGAATAACCACTCTTACTTCATCTAATTGGTCAAAAATTTTGTTTCTTGCTGATGACAAGACATTTTCTGTACAATAATGTTGTATGTCATTAAATAATTTCTTTCGATCACCAAATAAATCTTTCATTTCTTCCTCGGATTTTGTTGCCAGGTGTAAAATGATATACTTTTACATTAATAACGTTGTTATTATTATTATTATTATTATTATTATTATTATTATTATTATTATTATTATTATTATTATTATTATTATTATAACGATGTTAACAAAAAAAAGTAAATATAAATAAATACCTCTTTACTGCATTCTTGTAATAATAGTTGAAGTGGTTGAAAAGAATAGGAGGAGGACGTGGGTTTTTTTGGTAAAGAAGATTTCTTAGATGAAAATTGATGAGACAAGTTTGTTTTATTGTTATTTGAATGATTATTATTGTTGTTATTATTAATATTATTGTTACAGTTGTTGTTATTATTACAGTTGTTGTTATTTGACTTTTCATTGGTAATTTTTGAGCTTGTGTGAAAATCTGGTGCATCTATTGTTTAAATAAGATAGTCGTTGTTAACTTAATAGTACTTCAAAATGAGATGACGCGAACGATTATTAAAAATAGCATTAAGCTTAATAAGTTCACACTCTTAGTACTATTGCAGTATTAGTATCGTTACCTTTAGAAACAACATTTTGTTCTGTTTCTTCTTTTTGTGGTAATTTACTTGTTATTAGCTGGTCCAAATCTGAAGGCGAGTGTAATGAGGGAGTAAAAGGCGAGTGCGGAGTTATTGGAGTTTGAGGTTGGAATGAATCCTCGTCATGCTGTGAATGAGATGATTGCCCAGTGTTATTATTATACAAATGAGACTCGACAACTACATGATGGTTTAGTTGTTCTTCTGATTGTTTTAACATATTTGTACAATCTGGCTCAGACATTCGTTATTACTTTGTACAATTATTAGAACTTGAATGATTTTTTTTATTGGTAAAAAATTTATGATCATCAAAATGCTTCAGAACAGCGTAACCAACAAAAAAGCACGAACGGGCACGTGATTTTTTGGAATCGAGAACAATTCCTTTTTCTCATGCAGGACTTTCACAGTCTGTTGATCATGCTCTTTAGGTCTGGTCCAGACTTAGGGTTTCTATCCGAACAAAACAAACAAAACGAATGGAACAAATGAAACAAATGACTCGAATGACTCGAGTAAAAACAAATGATTCGAATAAAACGAATAAACGAATAAAACGAATAAAACAAATAAACGGATAAAGCGAATAAATGAATAAATGAATTAAATAATTCGAATAAAACAGATAAAACGAAAAAAAATAAAACGAATAAATCAAGTAATTCGAATAAAACAAATGATTCGAATAAAACAGATAAAATAAATGATAATTTCGAATATTTCGAAGAATTTGTATCGGAAGGAATTGGCATTCATAGAAACAATGAGTGAATTTTGATTTATATAAAATTGTATATATTTCTTTTTTTTTGGAATTGAGTTATAATAAAATAATTTTTTTAACAAATAAAATTGAAATAAATGCTTTTGTGATAAAAAATTCAACAATCCAATGGTCTTTGATACCTAAAACCAGACCGGCTCGGTCCACAGTCAATTCAATCTGGACCGGACCGTTAACATCCTTTTTTGAAATGAAACAAAAAACACTGTTAATTGGAAAGATGTCGATCATTATAATATAAATCCTGCAATAAAATTATTATGATTAAAGCATTATTTAAACAAAACGTTATAAATTCGTTATATTTTCATTTTCAAATTTCTAGAAATTATATAACGAGTAATAGTAGACTTGAAGGCAAAAACATATTCATGTAATATATCATTAATCATTTAATAGATCAATCCTTTAATAAATCAGTCATTCAATGAATCATGAATCAATGAATCAATTATTCAATCATTTAATCAATGAATACAATGATGTTTTTTTAGTACTGGAGCTTCTGCAGGCATTGGCGAAGCATGTGCTAAAGAATTTGCTAAAGCAGGATCGAATTTGGTTTGATATCATTACTTATCTATTTAACTATCTATTCCTTCTAAAAAACCATGATAATTGTTGCTATGATTTGTTGTTTTCATAATCAAAGTTTATTTTATAGATACTGACTGCAAGAAGAGTTGAACGGCTTGATCAACTTAAAGATGAACTTTTGAAAAAACACCCTACAATAAAAATCTATACACATAATTTAAATGTTTGTGAGAAATCTAATGTAGATCGATTAGTTAATTCATTACCAACAGATTTTAAAGATATTGATGTGTTGATTAATAATGCAGGTTTATTATATAAAATAATTTGTTAATTCTAAGTCCTAAATAAATTTTTATTTCTAAATACCACCAACTAATTGTCTATTTTAAATTAAGGTTTGGTTATTGGATTAGATAAAGTTGAAGACATATCAGTTGATGCTATGGACACAATGATCAACACAAATATCAAAGGTTTATTATATGTTATTCAAGCCATTCTTCCAAGAATGAAGGAACGTCAAAAAGGACACATCATCAATGTTGGATCAATTTCAGGTTTATTTTAAACTAATAATTTTTCTTCTAATGAGACAACTACCATATAATATCTGTTTTATAATTTAGGAAAACAAGTTTATGATAAAGGTTCTGTTTATTGTGCTACGAAACATGCTGTTAATGCAATTTCAAAAACTTTGCTTCTCGAATTAGTAAGTTTTCTAGTAATTATTTTTCCACAAATGATAATATTACAGATTAATAACTAATTTATTTCTTTAAAGGTCGATACACCAATCAGGGTCACTGAAATAAATCCTGGTAATATATAATACATTTGACTGACTGATTGATTTTGTTTGAATGGCCAAAAATAATTAAATATTTTTCTAATAATAAAATCAATATTTACTATTATTGTTGTTAAGGGATGGTAGAAACTGAGTTCTCTATTGTTAGATTCTATGGAGATAAAGAGAAGGCTAATAAAGTGTATGAAGGATTGGTGAGAATATTTTATCAATATAATCATTAAATTACTACTTGACATCTTAAAATTGTTACTAATATATTTATATATTAATCAATAGACACCTTTAAATGGAACTGATGTTGGTAATTAAAATATTAATCAACAAGTTGGTCAATCATTGTTGTTTTTGTTATTGTTATTATTGAAATCTTTATAATTTTTAGCCGAAATAATTGTTTTTGCTGCATCTCGACCTGATCATGTAAATATTGCTGATGTATTGGTGTATCCTGTTAACCAAGTAAGAAGATTATCAATCAATCAAATGTTTTGTTTAAGTTTTTATTTAGTTATTATCTTTCTATATATAGGCTGCTGTCACTACTGTTCATAGAAAATTATAGGTGGTCAATAAATATAGTAAATGCAAAACAATAAATTAATTATAATATGCCAATGTTTTTGAGGGTGAAAGATAGATGGAGAGGGTATTATGTCCCCATTTTGCTGTTTTATTTATCATGTGCTTTAATAAAAATAAAAGTGTAGGAAAATTTTTCAAGTTTCTATTTCTATATACTTTATATCTTTTCTCAACAAATTCCAGATGGTATATGCTCTATTAGTGCTCAACACAGTGATTGATCAATCATTAAATAACAACTTTTGATAATTTTACAGCAACACCTTCTCTTTTACCCACCATCTGATGCAAAAGCCATTTTTAGTTGAATGTTTGTATTTATTGTTGACTTTCTTCTGTTGTTGATTGAAAAACTCTTTAGATAAATTGTTTCTTTGTAAATGATGAGAAGATGAAGATGAAAATATATACTTGATTGATTAAGAATTTGAATGGTATTTGTAGATCCATTGATCACAAATAAAAGGTGATACAATTCCAAGTTTTTTTAATACAAATTACTTTAATAATAAAATATAAAAGTGATAAATGATCTAAACTTTCTTTGATATATTTGGAAACTTCATGAACAAAATTAAAAGAATTTTGGCCAATTTAGGCCAAAACTGACTTATCAAGAGACCAACTCATCAAGATTACTAATGCATTTCAAAATGACATTTTCTTCAAAAATTATTTTAATAAAAAATGATCATTGCAACCTTTTTCAAAGAAAGGGCTGAGTTTAGAGGGTTACAATAGACAGCAAAGGTCGTACCTACTAAATATTCATTCATTTTATATTAATTAAATTTAAATATTTGGATATTCATTCAATCATTAATATTTAAATTAATTATTCAGTGAATAGCGAAATCCTATTATAAAATTCTGGGCATTTCGATAAAATTTTAGAATGTCCGATAAAAATTGGGAATTGGCCATTTCCAGTTACACATACTACACTGGACGACACTTGCAGATCATCACAAATAATTGAATAAAGAAAACTAAAAATTTTACTATCCCAATCACATTTGCTTTTTAAGTAAAAATTAATCTTCATATCAAATACTATAATATACTGAAGCCCTTTTAAAGTTGAATTGAATGGTGGTGATTCTTTTAGAATCCAACATATGGGTTACATAATATTTCAAATTTTTTAACTTTTGAGCATAGAATGATTAGAAAATACCACATGACCAACAATTTTTTATTGCATTTTTGATTGGAAATTTTTTGGATATGTGGCGCAGAAAGTTGTGGCCGTGTCCATTTATAAAATGTGCTGTGGGGAAATTAAACATGTTGCAAAAGGCTTTTTTCATATAAAAAACGTGTCAATATTTTTTTCATTATGCATATTAAAAATTGAGCTGTCAAAGCTTTTTATAATTCACCAACAAATAAATATCAGGAATTTTCATATATTAGATAAAGAATGATTGATTATAACATTTATGTATAAAAATCCTATAAAAATCTATAATGATCACATATGTTATTTACAAGATTACGTGTAACCTAAGATACCTCTACCCTTCTAATATGTCATTACCCAAATGATAATGATAACAATTATCAATGAAAACATTTTTTCATAGGCTGCGCGATGGAATTATTAGTCATGAAAATTTATTTATTTTAAATTTTTCCGTTGCCAAAATTTAGATATGATTTTCGTGTTTTTCTAAATTTAGTCGAGCCAAATTCCTTGTTTCAACGGAGAGGCATTCATTTTACCGACGACAATCATTTTACCAACAGTTCATTTTACCAATGATAACTCGGGGATTACATTTAATCTCCACATAATCAAACAACTAATAAAATGCAAAAATGGCGCGCCGCGTGTTGTCGGTAAAGTAATTATAATACTTACCCACTTCAACGGATTAGGATTATAAATTCGCATTTCAACGGATTTTAAAAATTTTCGCTACTACTACACGTTATGAAAACATATAAAAATCCGTTGAAACACGATTAGTATTAGTATTATAATTAGTAATTTCGTTCCAATGGATTTAAATGAAAATTTCTTATATGTCCAGCCACTCCGTTGAAACTAGTGTTATACTGTATTAATAGTATTAAAAAGGAATAGAACTCTACAACAAATAATTTTTGAGAAAATCTCTCTGTTAGAGACATATTCTACCAGTTTACAAAGTTAAGTTTTTTAAAATAACATCATTACTTATGATGATCTTATATTCTTAATATAAATAACGGCTTTATTATTTCGTTTAATTTATATACTAATACTGTATTTGATAATAAAAACTATAAATTTGAAACCATCTTTAATTTGAGACATATTATTTCTTCTTATAAATGAAAATTTTCAATCTGATGATTATTATTGACGCATCATCTATAATACTGTTATCTTTCAAATTACGTTACAGAATTATTGTTATCTTCATCGATTTCTTTGATCTACCACGACTACATTTTGCTGGAGTCAATTTTATGTAATTGATTCATTACGGTTTTGTGGTGCATTGTTACTTTGTCTTGGCCTACTTGAGCCACATTTAATAGCATTATTTCCTTATTGCAGATGATTTTTGTTCATTAGTTTTAAATGGTTAGAATTTTTTGGTCAAAGTTTTTTATGATTATCTATTGCTCTATACCATGCAACAACTTTTGTGTTATTCTTTCATCGTCGCTTTTGCTAGGTTTAGTTTCTTATTGATTTCTTCGGTCTAACCTTTTTTTACGTTTTCATTCATTCCGACCCCATTTCCATTTCCATTTCCTGTAAAGACAATGCTTTTAAGCTTTCACGACCATCTTGGTTCATGATGACAAACCTTTATCTTTATCATTAATATTACATTACTATCACTATACTTATCGTTTACATCAGACTCATCAATGACAGTATTGATTTCAACACCTTTACCAATACCTCGTCCGTGATTATTCAATTATATCTCATATGCTCATTAAGTCAAATTGGTACTACACTTACGTTAATATTCATTTTGGTGTGATATCTCATATTCAGGCCCCTTAGACCTTCCATGACCCCTTTAGCTAATGATCATTGTTATCATAAAATATTAAACGTGGTTAATATTACGGATTAACTACCGGTTGTTGCAAATACGATCGACGCTTAATATCACATTTTAGTGATAGAAAATTTTTTTCTCTAAATATGTAGGAACACATAAATAAAAAAAAATCTATAATTTTTATGAAATTTTATCGATTAATAATTATAATTATATTTTATTATTATCGTTATTATTATTAAAATTTGGAAAGAAAGAACGAAAGAAAATAATAATATTAATAATTTAAAAAAATGTATAATAAATTGGTTAAAAGTAAAGCTGCTAAATCTGTTTTATCAACGGGCGAATTACTTTACATAATTTTTTCTGAATTTGTACATCAAGATGATTTATTCTCTTGCCTTTTGATCAATAGATTATGGGCAATGGTAAGTCAATATTATCATATATGTAATTATATTTATCATTTTAATATTTTATATATGCCAATATATATTTTCAATAATCAATATTTTTGAAGGAAAAAAAGTTAAAGGAAAGGAAATATAATAACTTGCCATATTAAAAATTCATGATGAAATTATGTGTTCAAGTTTTAATACTATTTACTATTTATTATTTTTATATTTTTATAAACAAGACAATTGCTAGAGTATTATGGAAAGAGCCGTGTTGGAAAACTTATGAATCTTATCGAAAATGGTTAAAGACATTGAAATTGCCACATACCACATTGGATTATGCAATTCTAGTACAAAGATTAAGTTTTAAACCACATAAAAGATGCCAAAGAGAAAAATTTACAGTTAGCGAATTGAAATCTATAGTTTCAAAATGTCAAAATGTTAAACATTTGGAATTTTATTGTCTTCAAGGAACTTTTGATCCAACAAATGTTGCTATGTTTCTTAAAACTTTACCAAATTTACTATCTTTTAAAACTGATGCATCATGGCAACCAGCTTTAGATTCTATCTTGGTAAATATGGCTGAAGGATTTTGTCCAAAATTGACTCAGTTAGAAATACCTGGTAATGGCGAATCTGATAGGTGTGTTACTTTGTTAAAACAAATTGGTGAAAAATGTCCAAAAATCGTTAAACTAAAAACTCGTTGGGAAATTCGTAGTGCTAAATTGGCATCAGTAATTGTTGGATCTTTTTCAAATCTTGAATCATTAATTTGTCGTGGAATTAATTATGATGGGCTAAGAATTTTATTACCAGGTTGTAGAAAACTTAAAAGTATGGAATTCACTTTCACTATGGAATTGAACGATGAAATGGTTCTATCTGTTGCTCAGATATTTCCTCAATTAGAATATTTAAATCTAAAAATATTTGGCCGCAATAATTTCCCTCAGTTTATGTCATCATGGGCACCTAATCAAATAAATTTACGTGAAATATATTTATCGGTTAGTGAAGGCTTGACTGACGAAAGTTTTATACCAATAACACAATATTGTCATTCTTTAGAAACTGTAACGTTATGGTGGTGTGGTGGCTTTACTGAATTATCATTTGAAGCATTAGCACGTAATAGAAATATTGGACTTAAACATCTTTACTTCTATCATGTTAAAGAAATGACCGATGTTGGATTGGAGGCAATAGCTGACTATTGTCCACAATTACAAGATTTACATTTAGTACATTGTGAAAGCTTGACACAGGTTTCTTTATTAAGAGTTGCAAGAAATTGTAAAAATTTAGTATCATTTAACGCTGAATTCTGTTCAAAAAGATATTACTGGCAATGGACAGCCGGATTTTTATTTACACTGGCTAATCGTAATCGTGGTTCTCTCGAGGAATTGAAATATCATGATAGAAATACATGTATAATTGATAGTGAAATTCTCGAAAATAAATTTAGATTTGATGGTAACTTGTTTGAAAGATTAGCATTAAGATGTCCAAAGTTAAAAGTCCTGGAGCTATTTACTTATCATCAAGAAACGAATCCTAATGTAAGTATAATTTTATAGCACGCAAAGTATCTATGTGTTTACCTATAATTTATATAAAAATATAAATATAACAATATGTATATATTTTGTTTAATTAGGTTTTGTTTAGATCATTGTCAAAATTCCAGAATCTTGAATCATTGGTAATTTATCCAGGTGAAGAAGCAAAAAGACAACATTTTGAAAAACTGTTGAGCCATCGTCGATTAAAACAAATTGTCTTGTATTATGGTAATAACGTAGATATTAAAAGTTTTTATGATGAGCATGTAAAGAAAAATAAAGGAGTAATATATACAGAATTTTGGACCGGTAGATTTATTGTAATGGGTGCTGATTAGATAATTAATGTGATGATAATAAACATTTACTTTTTACTAACTACTATTTACTGTTTATTTTTTTCCTAATCATATTATATATTTATACGCATTTATTTAATATATATATATTTTCGTTTGTATAATAATAATATTGTTAATTGTTAGCATAAATAATTTTTTGTAATTAAAAAACCCATAAATATAGGGATGTTAACGGTCCGGTCCAGGCTGAATGGACCGCGGTCTGGACCGTGGACCGAGTCGGTCTGGTCATAGGTATTAAAGACCGTTTGGACCGTTAAATTTTTTTTTATCATAAAAGCATTTATTTTCAATTTTATTTGTTAAAAATATTATTTTTATTATCACAACACAACTCCAAATTATTAATACCGTAAAGTTACAAAAGATAGTGTCCGTGACATTTCCTTTTTATAGTTTGTCACTCGCAATTCATTATATCAAATGCCACTATTTTATAGAAAATTGTTATTTGTCACGGTTATATCTTTTGGAACTTTACGGTATATTCAATATATTTTTATATAAATCAAAATTCATTCATTGCCTCTATGAATGCCCATTCCTTCTGATACAATTCATCGAAATATTCGTTTTATTTGAATTATTATTTGTTTTATCTGTTTTATTCAAATCATTTGTTTATTCGAATCAATTATTTTACGAATCAATTGTTTTATTCAAACCATTCATTTGTTTTATTCGAATCATTTGTTTACAAGTCACTCCCGTTATAACGACACTCTCCATGCAAGCAAAAAATATCAGTATAACGAAATTGCCATTATAACGGGAATTCATATAAAAGTCATGTGATTTTATAATATAGTTTTTATTTTTTTTAATTGTATTTGTTTATCTGTTTTATTCGAATCATTCATTCATTTTATTCGAATCGATTGTTTTTATTCGAATTACTTGATTTATTCATTTTATTTTTATTCGTTTTGTTCGTTTTATTCAAATTACTTGAATTATTATTATTTGTTTTATCTTTATTCGAATCATTGGTTTTATTCGAATCATTAATTTTATTTGAATTACTTGATTTATTCGTTTTATTTTTTATTCGTTTTATTCGAATTACTCGATTTCATTTATTTTATTCATTTATTCGGTTTATTCACTATTCGTTTTATTCATTTTATACGTTTATTTGTTTTATTCATTTATTCTTTTTCATTCGTTTATTTGTTCTATTCGAATAGAAACCTCAAGTTTGGTTGGACTACGGTCCTTTGATTAGACTGATGGTCTTTGGACCAGACCAGACCGTTAACAACCCTACGTAATAATAAATATTTAAAATGGAATACTCATCTCAGTTACACGAATCCCAACCCAGAACTAGGGATGGGAACGGTTCGGTTCGGTTTATAAACCGCCAGTTTGGCTAGTGAACCACACCGACTGGCGGTTTACCACTGCGGTTCAAACCCAAGTTTAACCGCAGTTTTATAATTTTATTGGTAGGGATGGGATCGGTTCAGTTTGGTTTATAAACTGCCAGTTTGACTAGTGATTGACAGTTTACTGATCACGGTTTTATAATTTTATTGGCCAAGTTAAATTTAAGAATTTTATTTTTATAATTTTATTGGTCAAGTTAAATTTAAGGATTTTATTTTTATAATAAAATGAAAAAAATTATTTTTTTAAAAAAAACAAATTAATTTGTTCCAATAATCAAACCACTTTTAAACATCATTACTATCTTCTTCATCAGAAAGTTCATATTCTTGACCAATTTTTTCAGAAGTCCAGCTTTTTAAGCATAACAAACCTCATGATGTTTCAGGATCTAGGCGATTCCTTAATTTAGATATTGTCAATCCTGCAACAGAAAAGTATTGTTCATATGGAACTGAGGTAGATTGTATTGCCAAGTAATCCTTTGCTAATTCAGATAGAGATGGAAAAGTTTCTTTATGTGTACACCACCACATGAGGGGATTGCATTCATTTTCTTTCACTAATAATAAATATTTTTCTACTTCATCATTTGTATGAGTATTATTTGTAGGAAGGAACTGACTAGCTAAACTTCTTATATGTGCATGTGCATCAATTCTATTTTTAATTATTTGGTGGTGATAGTTGATGTATTATTGTTATTAATTTGTAATGAATTAATTTACATTTTATTGCAGTTACTGTTCTTGTAATTTCATCAGTTGTAAAAGTTTGAGCATTTGGTAGAAGGATCCAATAATGATGCTATCATTTTTGCTTCATTAGGTAATTCAAAATATTGTTCTAATTTATATAAAATTGAGTTTGCTACTATATATTGTGTATTGCTAACTTCTATCTGTTTATGTAGGTTTTTCACTAGTGTCCAGTGTAAAATGAAATTCTCCAATTGTAGAATAATTGGATGATGAAAGCAGTAATGTTGCTGAATAAAATGGTGATAAAACATCAATCAACTCCTTTAAATAAAAATAGAGCAATTTTTTATTTTAACATATGTCCTAATATTAATAAATCTAAATGTTTTGTAATTAAATTAACACCTACATTTATTTTAAGCTGTCATTTTCATCAGGATTGAGATGATTTAATATATCAGGATGTTGCACTGCCAACATACTTGCTTGTGTTTTAAATTGTTTCATTTTGTTGAGCATTAAATAGGTGGAGTTCCACCTGATCTCTACATCAAGTTGTGGTGATAAGAATTCAATTGATTGAGTTGATTGTGAATGAAATATTCACTTAAAATCCTCCATAAGATTAATAGAGTTATGAAATTTTTTCATGAAATTGCATACTTTTTTAATTGACTTGCAGCCCATGCTGTACAGCAATATTAATTATGTGGGCACTGCAACAATGGTGAGTAACATGTGGATTATTATGATTAATACCCAACTCACTTTTTATTCCTCTTCCAAAAGCTACCATTGCAGATGCATTATCTGTTACCAAAAGAATTTTTACAGCATTCACCATATTTTCAGCACTGTGCATTGAGATGGAAATGTAAAAATTATAATAAAGCTCCATTAGCTTTTTTATGAGATTATTTTTTTGGTTGATTTCGTTGTGGTCAAGGTAGCTACTGAGGAAGGATGCATCTGAAACCTGGTCAGGTTGTGGTTCAGAGCTCAGTTCGACGAAATTGGAAATCTTGTAATGTCTCATCTCATGGTTCATCTTCTCTATGTTAATGTTTTGACGGTTGGTGATTTTGTTTTTGTTTTTGTGTTTGTTAATTAATTTTTATTTTTTATTTTTTATTTTTACGGGAGGGAAAAAAACGCATTGACATCAATGAACACACATCAGCATCTTATATATGGATGGAGGTTCAACTTTATTTATGAAGTGAAAAGGTCAGCTAACACAAAAAAATGAAAGTTTAACCTTGACATGAAGCAAAAGTAAAAAAAAACCAGGTCGGCTAAAAATAAAAAATGGATAAACTAAACAAAAAAGGTAAAAAAAACCAGGTCAGCTAAAAATAAAAAATGAATAAACTAAACAAAAAATATAAAACAAACAGATCAAAAACTAAAAATAAAAAAATAAACGAAAAAGGCAAAAAGCATTTGCGGGTTTATCGAAAAAAGAAAACTAAAAATAGAAAATGAATCAGCTAAACGAAAAAGGTAAATGCATTTTAATTTCAGCTTATTGAAGGAAAAAAAAACTATTTTTTTTTTGTTTTTGCCGGACATTGCTTGCTAGCTCTTGAGTTGCTGATAGTGATCTCTTCAGGCTCAGGTTCAAGTTCAGGTTCAGGTTCAGCCTCAGTAGAATCCCTTCCTTCAGGATGCTCCACAACAGTCTCCTCTTCGATGTTGATTGGTGTTCTTTGGTAGTACTCCCTTGTTCTAGCAGGCCTTTTGCTGCTGCCACCTTGACACCTGCTCTCATAATTCATCAGATCTTGGTTGCGCCTCTTCCTATTATCAGATCCTGGTCCTGATGATGATGCATTGTTTGTGGGTACACATTGTTCCATTCAATATCTGACATAATTATCTGCACCATGTTTTTCCCTCCATAGAGTTCACCGCTGATGGAGAAGACCGCCATGGACTCAATTGCCTTTGCGACATTAGCATATCTGGAGTTGCCGGAATTGTAGGAACACACAACCTCAGTGATCAAGTAATTGGAGGTCACAGGATTGTAAGTCCTTCATCCCAAGGTAAAGTAGGAGGTGGTGTCTTTGTTGATCTCCAAGGACTTGCATAGAGCTGAATAATTGCCAAAGGGCAGGCAGGATGGAAGATCATAGATTGATGGGAGCTCCTCAATCATTTTCAAATTCAGCAACACTGCTTGAATGACCGTGACCTTTTTTTTTATTCATCACATTTCAGCTAGTAAGCAAGTGGTCCAAGAACCAAAAAGGAAAAACATCATCAAAAAAAAACGATTAGTCAACACTCACATCAAATCAAGAGTTCTCCAAGACAAACCTTCCTGTGACCAACATTATTGTGTTCAGTTTGATCATTTGGATCATGTGCTGGTTTTCAATTGAGGTAAACACCTTGTAGTTGTAGTCAACGAATTCATCATCATTGCACCTGTAGGTTGCAACACCAGCCAATGCAGAGGTTCTGGAAACTGTCTTGATGAAAGAGATAGCGGTGAAGACGGATGTCATTTTTTCAGGAAAAAAAAAGTCAAAGATAAAGAAAAGATAAGCCAAAGTGTTATTGTGTTTTTGTGTTATTCTTTTTTATTTATTGTTTTATTTTTATTGAAAAGAGAGTTGTTGAATTAATTGAAAAGAATATTGTTTGATTGATAGATACAAACAGTTTTTTATATACCAATCAAAAAAAATAACCAACACACTTAAAGGGAAGAAGGATCACAATTGAAAAAATGACTAATTCGTGAATGGAACAAAAACTTTGCAATGGCACATTCATTCATTGACCAATTGTGATTTTTATTTATTACACAATGACCATATTTACTTGATCATACATATATAGATAGACTACTTTGTTTGTGACTAATTCACGAATGGAACAAAAACTTTACAATGGCACATTCATTCATTGACCAATTGTGATTTTTATTTATTACACAATGAGTGTATTTACTTGATCATACATATATAGATAGACTACTTTGTTTGCGACATAAACAATCGAAAAAAATGACTAATTCACTATTATGCAACAATCATATTTACTTGATCATACACTTTAGTACTAGTGTAATTTTTGTTTGTTGTATATATATAGATAGACTACTTTGTTTGTGACATAAACAAACAATTTTATTTTTTTATTATTGTTATATGTTATTTTAGTAATTATTGGCTATTGATTTATTCCTGGAGTTAGTTGATCAAAAGGTTAAACTGCAGCAAACAAAAGAAAAGGTAGATAAAAAATAAAAAAAATAAAACCAAAAAGGTAAGATCAGACAAACAAATAGTGAAAAATAATGAGATTTAGTTAGCTAGTAAAGTAAATAAAAAAAAATAATAAAATAAATAAAATAAAAATAATAATTATTTAACGATATGTATAATGTCAATCATTTCAAAGAGTAAAAAAAAAAAATTTTTTTCATTTCATGCTTCCCAAAAAATTGTGTTTAGTAAAAATTGATTTTTATCAGCTCAATGCTCACTCAATCTGTTTGATTGATCTGTTTGTTCGTTTGCTCATGTATGATTGAGCACTCTACAATGACTTGTTTCCCATACCACTGTTTATTTACAAATATGGGCAAAAAACAACAAATATTGGCAAACAATAAATTTTAAAAAAAAATAGTAGATCAAAACCAAATTTATACAATCTATTCCAAGCAGTGTTGAAATTTCAGCGGGAGGGTGTAACGTTACACATATCAAAACCATAGGATTTAAACCTATTTTAGCCCATTTTGATATGTGTAACGTTACACACACCCCTGCTGAAATTTCAACACTGATTCCAAGTAACAGTCAGTGATCATTTCGTATCTGCTGCAATTACATAAGTGTAACGTTACAAAAGAATTCAAATTCAAATTTTCTCTTCAAATATAACTTTTAATTTTTATGATTAATATTTTTTATTCCCATAACAAATCTTCTTCTTGAAATGTCAAGGAATGTAAATATA